AAAGAGGAACAATTACTTCAAGCGCTGTAATATCATTCCTCAAAGCCCACCCACAGAGACCAATACTGAGTCTTCTCTTCCTCTCAGTGATTCAGTGGTAATTTGTGCCAATTGTGGGTAGATCTGTGTTGTGGACCTGAATCCACAAAGCTACATGCCCCATGTATGTGGAGTCCTGTAGCTCAGTGGTTAGAGCACTCGCTTTGCAAGCGAGAGACCTGAGTTCAATTCCAGGCAGAGGGCGAAACCTTGGGCAAGTTTCCTTACTCCACACAGAGCCTAATAATAATCCCTCCAAAAAACAAAAACAATAATAAATTGGTCATTTTCAATCTACGACTGTTTGTGGGACATTGCTGTGCGCAATTGGCTGCCGCGTTCGCCCACAAATATACAGTCAATTCACTTTACAGTGTGTTCTGTGAAGCGCTTTGGGACGTCCTCCCGACGTGAAAAGCGCTATATCAAATGCAAGGATTATTATTATTATATTATTATTATTATTATAAACAGCCAGTAAGGTCCCAGGCTTGCTCCTCTGTTCTGATGTCACTGAGGTCATCAGAGGGTATTAATTCAGTATCCATGGGTGGTGGCAGAAAGCCTTAATATTGGGTACAGATTGGCAAGATACAAGGTTTGGGGACCCAGAGTGTACGTTGGGGTAATTGCTGGAGTTTAACCAGCTAAAACCGCATAGCTATATGTATAACACCTGAGCTGGGGTGTGGTTGCAGAGGTGTGTGTGTAGAAAGATAACTGATGTAAAAGGTTAGCTTGACATGGACCAGTAGGACAGCTTAACCTGTGTTTTTCTCCATGTTATACACCCAATACATGACTGCTTACAACTAACCAATTGTGCTTCAGCACTAATGAACCACAGATGATATCTAAGGGGCAGTGGCATAGAGCATGGTAGCCATGATGAGATGCATACCCCATCACTCCTCCCACTCTGTTAAATTCCCAATCTCAGCTGTGCTGCTTTGAGGAGGTACCAAGCAGAGACCCAGGCACCTCCCAATAAGAGGAAGGGAAAATCATAGTGAGAGAACCTTATCCATTTCCTGTCAGCTGGCTGGATCACATCATTGTCTTGCAGCCTGAAGCAGATCCCACCCTCTTGATTACAAGAAATGTGCAGTCAATTGAATTGTAAAATGAGTAAAAAAAAGGAACTTCAAACCCTGAAAAAATTCACAATATTTTTCCATTATCATACAACTTTGCAAAGCTTGAAGGAATGAAGATTTAAATATTCAGCACTTAAGCAAGTCCTTGTGAAGTGCTCCAAGATGTTGTCTGAGATGTGAAGGCCCTTATATAATACACGCCAAATTTACATTTATATCACGTCTTTCACATCGAGAGGATATCTCAAGGCCCTTGACAGTCCTGCCTTGGCACCCAAGTTGAAGATTAGGAGGGGAAAGATGACTGAAAGCATAGTCAAAGAGGAAGCTCCCGAGATAGACATCGAAAGAGATGAGGGAGGAGATGAGTCAGAGGGACTTTGAGATAAAAGTTCCAGAATTGGGGCAGATAAGGCTGAAAGTCTGACCACCAATGTAAATTTAATACAAGTTGTTGTTGATCAATTCTCAGCTCGTATGTGGTTTGAGTTTCTGCTCTGAAATGGCAAACAATTCTCTCACTAAGTTATAATTATTTGTTTCCTCTCTCTCAGTGTGTGCATGTGTTTGGAAACTGTTACGTGAGAACACGATTTGGCTCAGCTGTGATGCCCTGGTGGCTAGGGTGATCCAAGCTGGACAAAAACCTGAAACTTAGTGGTGCTCTGGAGTTGTAGGTTGCCCAGTTTTAGCCAGGAGGGCAGGGGGGAAGAAGGTTGACCGAAGGCACGATCAAAGAGGAGGGTCTTGAAATGGGTCTTGAAGGAGGTAAGCGAGGGTGCAAGGCAGAGGGACTGCGGGATGCAATTCCAGAGGGTGGGGGCAGAGCGGCTCAAGCCCCGCCCGCCAATGGTTTTGTTTGCATAGTCAAGCCTGGATGTCATGAATGCACGTATGAGGGTCTCGGCGGCCTACAGTGTGAGACAGTAGTGGAGCCGGGTGAAGTCACGGAGGTGCGGAAAGACGGAGTGGGTCATGGCATGGATGTGGGGTATGAAGTACAGTTGAGGGTCGATTAGGGTGCCAAGATTCCGTATTGGCTCTGTGAGATGTAGAGTGCATCTATGGAGGGAGATGCTGTCAGCACCCATGGTAGGAAGGTGCTGATGGGAACCAAGCAGGAGGGCCTCAGTCGTATTGACATTCAACTACAGGAAGTTAGCTCTCATCCAGGACTTGATGTCTACAGGCAGTCTGTGAGGACAGCAGAGGTCCTAGAATAGAGGGTGGAGGCAGAGAGGTAGAGTTGGGTGTCATCCACATACATGTGGAAGTTGACCCCATGTCTACAGATGATGTTACCAAGGGGGAGCATATAGACATTGAAAAAGAGAGGGCCAAGGACAGAGCCCTGAGGGATGCCACAAGTGATGGTGCGGGGGCTGGAGGAGAAGCTGCTGGTGATGACAAAGTGGAGATGGTGGGAGAACCAGGAAAGGGCAAGTACTCGAAGATTGAGCTGAGAGAGGCGGTGTAGGAGAATAGAATGGTTGACAGTGTCGAAGGCAGCAGATAAGTCGAGGAGGACAAGGTTGCAGATGTTTGGAATGTTGTCAGTGACTATGACCAGGGCTGTTTCCGTGCTCTGGGCAGCCTGATTGGAAGGGTTCAGAGGGAATGGTGGGAGAAGAAAGAGTGAAGCTGGGATACGACAACTTGTTCCAGGTTCTTGAGGAATGGGAAGTTGGAGATGGGGCAATAGCTGGAGTAAGAATGGGTCCAGGGAAGGTTTTTTGAGGATGTTTTTAGGGGGGTGGGACCAATGCCAGTGAATAAGGAGAGTTTGATAATGTTGATTAAAGGAGGGGCCAGGAGGTGGAGCTGGAAGGTGAAGAGAGGGGTGGGGATGGGTTCGAAGGAGCACATGGTGGGCATCATTTTTGAAATGATGGAGGTGAGGGAAGAGGGGGAGACAGGGTCGAAGGTATGAAGCGAGGGATGGATGGGGGCCGAGGCGTGAGTGGGAGGTGGCAAGGAGGTAGGGGTGGAAGGGGGAGAGGTAGCAGAATGAATCCCATGATTTTAGATTCGAGGAAGTCCAACATCTACTCACAATTGTAATTGGAGGAGAGGATGGGTGAGGCGCGGGAAGTTGGAAGGAGGAGGCGGTTAGTGGTGGAGAAGAGGAGCCTGGGATTGTCCTTGGCCTCCAAGATTATCTTGGAGTAAAAGGATGATTTGGCATAGGCAAGAGTGGAGTGGTAGGTCTTAGTGTGGTCAAGCCAGAGCTGCCAATGGACCGTTAGATTTGGTCCAGGGCATTCAGCGGCGCGCTCTTGTGCCTTGAGGGATTGGAGATGGCTGGTGAACCCGGGGATTGATGGGAATATGAGGCAGTTCAGGGGGTGAGGGGGCCAAGGAAGTCAAGGATGGAGGAGAGGGAGTTGTGGAGAAGAGAGATTGAGGAGGATAGGTCATTGTGAGAGCAGGGCAGAGGAGCAGGAGTTTGGATGACTCCAGGGCAGCTAAGAGGGAGTGGGGGGAGATTTTTTTCCAAGGACAGTGGGTGACAGAAATGGGTTGAGCAGGGGGAAGGGGGACAGAGGTGTTAAGGGATATGAAGTGGTGGACCAAGATGGCTTTATCAGTAATGGTGATGTCCGAGATGGTGAGGCCCCGGATGATCACCGGGTCGAAGGGGTGGCTGTGGGTGGATCTGGAGGGAGAGATTGTGCGAGAAGAGTAGGGAGAAGTCAGCAGAGGTAGAGCAGGAGGGGGTGAAATGGTCAAAGAGGTACTGTTGGCCAGAACACCTAGAGAAACTTCTCGAGCCAATGCTCATTCTGTGGTCATCATTCTTAGTCACTCCACCGTTTGTGGGGCACTGCTGTGCCCAATTGGCTGTCGGGTTTCAGCCATCAAATACACATTCAAATCCACTTTGGAGTATATCCTCAAGTGCTTTGAGACGTGTCGACACGATAAGGCTACATCAAAATGAACAGATTATTTTGATAATGCCAGGCTTTCCGCCCCACACTTACAGCGATGAGTTTGCAATGTAGCTCCTGGCATTGGATACATCAGGTTATGTGCACGTGACTCCTGCTATTTCTCTTCGAGTAGAAGGCACTGCGGACACCCCTGAACGATGTTGCTAGATTATGTGGGTTCCCCATTTTCAGTTAAATAAATAATAATCCTTGCATTTGATATAGCGCTTTTCACGTCGGGAGGACGTCCCAAAGCGCTTCACAGAACACACTGTAAAGTGAATTGATTGTATATTTGTGGGCGAACGCGGCAGCCAATTACGCACAGCAATGTCCCACAAACAGTCGTAGATTGAAAATGTCCAATTTATTATTGTTTTTTTTGGAGGGATTATTATTAGGCTCTGTGTGGAGTAAGGAAACTTGCCCAAGGTTTCGCCCTCTGCCTGGAATTGAACTCAGGTCTCTCGCTTGCAAAGCGAGTGCTCTAACCACTGAGCTACAGGACTCCACAGTTCCTCTTCGACCATGCTTACGGTCACCTTCACCGCCCCACCCCGCCCTCCCGGCTTGGTGTCAGGCTCCGCCATAGTTCAGCACTCTGAGATGCTTCCCCTCGCGAAGGGAGCAACAACAAATGCGAGCGGTCGTCATGATTTTTTTGTTGCATTGCGTGCCTGAAAAAGAAGGTTTTGGCCGGAAACTTGGGTGCCTAATTTTTTTTCTTTAAAAAAAAAATGTATTTTACACCTGCAAGACGTTTTGCAGACCTTTTCTGCAGTTTCAAAAGCACCAAGTAATGTAAATTGGCCCCTCTGCTGCCCATCCATATACAGGAGGCAACTCACAGTGTTGATTGGGCTACTTTTGGGCCACTTTGGGCTACAAACGCACGTGACAACCCGGCCACGCTGCCGGGGTCGGTCGGGCAGGCAGGCGGCGCCGCGGACACCCCCATTGACAGGACCCCGGTCGCCATGGTGCGCAAGCTTAAGTTCCACGAGCAGAAGCTGCTGAAGAAAGTCGACTTCATCTCGTGGGAGGTGGACAACAACCTCAAGGAGGTCAAAGTGCTGCGCAGGTTCCGCATCCAGAAGCGGGAGGATTACACCAAGTGAGTGAGTGAGTGAGTGAGACCCCGGCGCCGCGCGGCCAACCGCCTCTGTTGCCAGAGAGCCGGCCCGAGGCGACAGGCGGGCGGGCGCCATGTTGGTGAGGTCGACCCCCGCGCTCTGAGCGGAGCCTCCCTCTTCGTGTGTATATATAATATATGTGCGTGTGTCTATGTCTGTCACTCTCTCTCTCTCGTTCTCTACCTCTTCTGCTTCAATCTACCAGCGTCTGAGGAGCTGTGAAACCCATCCCTGCCGTTCTTCGCCAAGGTTACCTCCTCTCCGCTTGTGACGTGTGGCGGACCACGTGCGAAGCGCGCGTCGCCCTCTGGGATGTGTAGTTTCTGGGTCCAGTCATCCCAGCGCTGCACAGGATATACTGTAAAGTCAGTGACTGTGTGTGTTGTGGGCAGAATCCAGCAGCTGGTGTGTGCACATCAACGTCCTGCAAACCGGTGGAGTGACCCCAACCCCCTCCCAACCCCAGTTTTATTTGGGGGTTTGTCGGCCAGGATACCGAGGGAGAGACAACTCCCTTCTCTTTTCGAATAGTGTTGTGGGACCATTAACGTCCACCTGAACAGGCACACAGGACCTGGGTTTAATGTCTCATCCGAAGGATGGTGCCTCCGACAATACAACACACCCACAGCACTGCATTGGAGTGTCAGCTCAGGCGATGTAATTCCAAGTGCCGACGTAGGGCTTGAATGTACAACCTTCTGACTCGGGCAAGAGTGCTACCATTAAGCCAGGCTGAATAATAATCCGTGCATTGAAACATCTGTCTCAGAGTGCTTTACAGGATTTACTGTAAATTGTAGCGACTGTATTTTGTGGGCAAACGCAGCAGCCAATTTGCACACAGCAATGTACCATAAACTGCCATGAAGTAAGTGACCAATTTTATTTGGTGATTGTTGGCAGGATACCAGAAGAAACTCCTTTTTTCAAATAGTGCTATGGGTTCTTTAACATTTGCCTGAACTGCTGGGCATCTGGACCTTGGTTTAACGCCTCAGCCAAAGACCACACCTCCAACAATTCACTGGCACCTTCCCAGAACTGTACTGGAGTTCAATGTTACACCAGAGTGGTCCAATCTTTTGGCCGGTGATGACCGGGTGCCCTATTTGAGAAATGTTTGCACGCCACATAAATAATATTTTTGTGTTTCCCTTCCAGAAACATACATTTATGGGTAATGGAGGGAGCAGGTGGACCAGATGAAATGGAGGGAGGCAATTTCACTGAATCAGTGAATGTACCCTGTCTTAGACTATATGGGTTCCATGCCCTGATGTGGGGCTTGAACCCACAACCTTCTGACTCAGAGGCATTACCAACTGAGCCAGGCTGTTGTGCATCTGTATTTACTGGAGTTATCAGTAGTATCAGGAAGGACATTTATTGTTTATTCCCTCTTTTTCCCACCCCCACCTGCCTACTATGGCTTAGTGAATGTATCCTATGGAAAGGTTGAGTCACCCCAAAGACCACAGTTTTGATACTTGGTCTGTGTTGGGCTTAGGTTTACGTTTCATTTCTACTGACATTTAGGGTTGTCTGCATCGGAAGATTTTGGGTTCAAATTGTGATGGGGAGGCTGCACCCATGATCCAGTGCAGTGTTGCGAGTGACCTGTATTGTTAGTGGTACCACCTTTTAGATTTAGCTGTCGTCCTTTCTGTATGTTCAGGTGGATGTTAAAGATTCAATGGTATTATTTGAAACGAGAAGGGAATTTTTCTTGGTGTCCTGGATAATAATTTTCTGGTTAATTCGTCTTTCCAACATGGGTGTTTGTTGGACTTTGCTGGTTACAAAATTGCTGCCCTATTTCCCTACATCTATAGTCACTACACTTGTTAGGACTGTGATCTGCAAAGTGTTCGGATAGTTTGTTTTGGCCAGTTATGAATCCTGTTGCAATCTTAAGCCATTCTACTAAACAATGGAGTTCTAAAATAAATAATCCTTGTATTTTATCTTGTGCATTATCACATGTTCACAATATTTCAAAGCACACAATAGTATTTGTGTCAACACTGTTTCTGTAGGCGAATGTGGCAGAAAATCTGTGCACAGGAATGTTCCACAACTAACCAGGAAGTTAGAGCCAATAATAATATTACTTGGGTTTGATATAGCGCCTTATCCCGCCAATGAGGTGTCTCAAATTGTTTCCCAGGATTTACTGTACAGTGGAGGGATTGTGTTTCTTTTTTTAGGTGAACACAGCAGTCAATTTGCACACAGATAAGACGTTAAATTGAGTTTCCATCTACCTGTTCAGTTGAATGTTAAAGATGGCATGGCATTATTTGAAAATAAAATAATTTCACTCTGGTGTCCGGGCCAACAATTCTCCAAATAAAATCACGTACTCATGCACAGTCATTAAACTTCATAATAAGTCTTGTGATTCACTTTGAGTTTTCGTGAGGATGTGATAAGGCACTGTGTCAAAATTGTTGTTTCTCAGTAGTTATGGAGTGTTACAGCCATTTTCAAAGGCACCAATCTATTAGAATACCTCATGGGTCATCAAGTTGGCCTTGGTGTCCATGGGCTATGGAAGGGTATATATGACTCGCTATTTTCCACAGTTCCCTCTTCTGAATGGTAACACCAACAACAAGAAGTTGCATTTATATACCGCCCCTTACATAGGGTAGCGTCCCAGAGAGCTTATGTTAAGTGTTAATACTTGTGCCTTCTCTCCCTTTCTTTAAACTTTCCAACCTGCTCCTAAAACTTTCTGGAATTAGGTAAGCAGGATGCTCTACGGGGAGGGAGTGTGTATTCCATTCCAATAAACATCTCTGGAATTTCCATGTATTTCAACAAAGTTTGTTTTGGATACTCCTTAAGCATGGTGATGGATTTCTGCAGGTGTCAGACACCCAGCTGACCAAAAAGAGCTGGAAAGTGGGATTTTAAAAAGGCAGCACAGATACAATTGGCTAAGTGGCCTCCACTTGTGCTGAAATTGTGCTGAAATTCTGATGTGAATGCTTCATGCTGCTGAAAGGCATAATTCTGTACAGCATCACATTGCGAGATGAGCTCACTATCGGAACCTAGCAATCCACTACAGACTTAGATTCCCAGTTTTTGAGATGCTCTATGGGAGGAGGGGGGAGCTGAGGAAGGAAATTACTGTAAAGTTAAAGGTCATGTATCAGTTTTAGATATGTGAATGTTCTGCAAACCTGTTTGCATCCAACACACCAAAAATACACTTTGCAAGTCTAAAACTGAAGTAATATCTATAATCTGACAGATAATAATATCTCTTCATGTTGTGGGTCACACATACACTCAATGTCTATAGATATTGAGTAATTTGCTCCCTAGGTTCCTCTTGGAGCTATGCAGTCAGAAACGTTAAATGCTATTTTCATCTTTTTAAATCAGCTGGTGAATCTTCATACTGACACAACAACTTGGATTTATATAGCGCCCTCCATGCCGGACGGCATCTCAGAGCGCTTTACAGTAACGGATCCCGGGGCTGAGCCAGGGGGAGGAAGGTGACCAAAGGCGCGGTCGAAAAGAAAGGTCTTCAGCAGAGACCTGAAAATGGGAAGGGAGGGAGCGAGGCGAAGGGAGTGAGGAAGGCAGTTCTAGAGCCTCGGGGCATAATGACTGAAGGCACGGCCGCCGAGGGTGGAGTGGAGGACTCGGGGGACGAGGAGGAGGTCAGACCCGGAGGAACGGAGGCAACGGGTACTGTTTTGAGGAGAGAGGAGGTCAGAGAGGTCGGGGGGTGCAGAGCAGTGCAGGGAGTTGAATACAAGGGTGAGGATCTTGGAATCGATCCTCTCTGGGATAGGCAGCCAGTGCAGTCTGGCAAGGACTGGGGTGATCGGGGAGCGGAGTTTCATGCAGGTGAGAATGCGGGCGGCAGAGTTTTGAATGATTTGGATTTTATGGATGGTGGTGGATGGGAGACCGGCGAGGAGGGCGTTAGAGTAGTCCAGCCGAGAGGTGACAAAGGCATGGACCAGGGTTTCAGCGGCTTTTGGGGAGAGGTATTGGCGGAGACGGGTGATCCGTGGGAGGTGGAAGAAAGTGGGGCTGGTGAGGGACCGGATGTGGGGGAAGAAGGATAATTGAGGGTCGAACCTGACGCCTAGGTTGCATACAGGTTCGGAGAGTTTTAGGGGGAGGTCGGGTAGGTGGAGGAGGTGAGAGCCATGAGATTTTAGACGTTGACGAGAGCCAAAGAGTATGGCTTCCGTCTTGTCAACGTTCAGCTGAAGGAAGTTTGCGCTCATCCAGCCCCTGAGATCTGACAGGCAGGCTGATAGAACATCAGGGGACTGGAGGGGGTCGCAAAGAGAGGTGGAAAAATAGAGTTGAGTGTCATCTGCATACACGTGTAAATGTACCCGATGTCTGCGGATGACATCCCCAAGAGGAAGCATGTAGATAAAGAGATGACAAGAAATTGCCCTAAAAATAATCTGCTTGTTCACTTCTCAGAAATGGTGATATAACGTCTTGAGAGTTATCTTTCATCTATCGTGTGGTAAATGCAAGATCTACAAAAGCTCTGCTCACTGCCTCCCAGTGAACTCCCAGTCAGTCTTGTCAAGCACTTTGACATGTCAGCTATACACTGAGCCATTGCAGAAGTGCTTCGATCCCACCTGCTGATGGATCTAAGATATTGTACATATCGGATTCACTTCACTTTTTGCTAGCGTGACTGGGATATGGTAGTGAGAGTTATTATTGAGGAAGTTTCGTAGTCTTTGGCTGGGTCAGTCACCTTCCTGTTGTACTAGGGTTGAGATTGTTAACATGTTTCAAAATAACAGTCCTTCAAAACACAAGGTTGTTCCCCTTTTAGGTTAGTGGGTGAAGGTACCAAGTGTAATTGTAACTGACTCCTGATCATGTGCACAATTTTCAGCAGGAATGGATGCTCAGGAGTGGAAGCCCTTCTTCAGCCTCTTCTCTCTCCTCCAAGAGAAGGGGCGGTGGAGAAAAAAGGGACTCCATCCAGTTTCAGCATCATCCAAGTTGGAGTTAATGCAGCACAAGCTGAGGTTTAAACCTTAACTATCTTGATTCGTATGGCTGAATAATCCTATGTTGCGCGGTGTTTTCACACTTGAATTATTGCAGGAACGCATGACTATTTAATGTGATCAGCTTTACCTTCACACTTCATTTTGTTATGACACATGAACCAATCACAGTGATTCCCTGCGCTTATTTGACATTTTTCGGTCCAAGGTATTGTTCAGTTTTTTTTTTGAAATACAAATATAATTTTTTTTCTTTTTATATAGATACAATAAGCTAAGCAGAGAAGTTCGAGAATTGGCATGCAAAATCCGAGACCTCAATGAGAAAGATGCCTTCCGGGCTCAGTGCACTAGTCGGCTGCTGGAGAAGCTGTAAGTACCACCCACTGATTCAATAACAGCAGTTTAAAGCTTGCATTTTTTTTTAAACAAATCTTTGGTTACATAGACTGATATAGCACGGAAACAATTCATTCAGCCAAAGTAATCCACGCTGATGTTCAGACTCCATATGAGCAACCACACCTCGCATTCCCTTCTCATTCATGGATTCATCACATTTTTTTCTTTCAAGAGTAAATTCTGCTGTCACAAAGCATCAACATTGCTGGGTACTGGGATATGATTCTCAATAATTGTACTTAGAGGGTAAAGGGGAGGGAGAAATGGAGGGAGGGAGAGGAAGGGAGGGAGAGAGAGAGGAAGGGATAGCAAGAGACATGGGGAAGAGATGTTGGGGGAACAGAAGGAGGGAGAGAGCAATCAATGAGAGTTTAATCAGAAAGTTTATTGTTTTTCAATATCTTCCCTTTTGTTCACCCATCTGTGTTGATATCCTTTTTTCTGAACCATATTTTCGTTGTTTGGTTCAAAACTCTTTTCCTTCTTTCTTTTGTCTTTCATTTCTATTCCCTCTTTATTGCTGTGGAGTCCTATAGCTCAGTGGTTAGAGCGAGCAAGAGACCTGGGTTCGATTCCCAGCAGGGTGAAACCTTGGGCAAGTTTCTTTACTCCACACGCCTGATAATAATCCCTCAAGAAAAAAACAATAATAAATTGGTCACTTCAATCCACAACTGTTTGTGGGACGCAATTGTCTGCTACATTTCACCCACAAATATACAATCAATTCACTTCACAATATATTCTGTGAAGCACTTTCAGATGTCTAGAAGACATGAAAAGCACAATATCAAATGCAAGGATTATTATTATTATTTATATTCCTATCTCTTTAAACTGCTCAAACCCCACTCCTCTACCCGTCCCTTTTGCTTGGCCTGATTGGGCCTTCTGTGTTGGATATCCCTTTAAGAATTAAAGAACAATTAAGAAAGATGAGATAAAGACAGGAAATACAAAAGAACACTGGGAATAGAGCAAATTGGTGTGGTTATAGTAAGTGGATTGGAGTGCTTTGAGTTGATAATAAAGAAAGTGACACACCCATGCTTCGGATTGAACATCATTACATGCTGTGCATCTCCCGACTTCTCCGCTCCACCATTGGTGGCTGTGCCAAATTTATGGCCTATCTGAATCCCTCTCTGCCTTGCCTGCTCTTTACCCATCTTCAAATCACCTGAAGACTTTCCTCTTCACCTGTGGTCACCTCTCCATTTCTCCCCATCTTGGCATCAAACTCTACCATTGTTCATTATTCTGAGATACTACCCTGGACAAAGAGCGCTACATGAATATAAGTTGTTGCCAAGAAGCATTTACTACTAATATCAGACTTTATAGAGGTGCTCACAGCTAATATCAGACTATATAGAGGTGTCACTGCTAATATCACACTTTATAAAGAAGCCACTACTAATACCAAGCTATATAAAGCTGTCACTGCTCAGATTAGACTATAGCAGCACCATCCTTCTTGGCAACTTGTTCCAGTTATTAGTTATCCTCTCAGTAAAGAAAAGCTTTCTGGTGTCCTTTCTGAAACTGTCCTTTACAACACTTGCACCTCTTGTTCTACGATCTTGGTGCACCCTAAAGTATTGATTTGGGTTTTCTTTTTCAATACTCTATAAAGTTTCTTCTGAGACATATTATTTCAAGGTGAAGTGTCAACATGCTATTCTTGAAACCAATTTGGAATCAACCAATGAGTTTGTCTAGCAATCATTTCTTGAATCAAGTTGATGTTAATTTGACAATGATGTTAATGCTGTCAGAGGTATGTTTATTTCCAATATTGCTTCCTCACTGGCTAATTGTATCCCCTGAAAAGAAGTGAGGAATCTTGCTCCCCCCCCCCCCCCTCGGATGATGGAAGTGGATTATTTTTGGACTTCATTTCAGGAACACGATTAGCAAGCTGTACTTGGAGTATTTGTGACTTTTTGGTGCTTTACAACAACAACAAAATTACATTTGTAAAGCGCCTTTCACGTCAGGAGGATGTCCTAAGGTGCTTAACAACTGTCACTGGATGCAAGGTGGTTAAATGTTCCACTTTTCAATATAGGGGTCCCTTGCTGACATAATTTAGTGCTGCAATTTGCACCCCGACCTCATGTGCACCAATTAATCTTGCTGTATCCAGGCTGACCATTAGTGCCATAGGCACAGTCTCTCTTCAGGGTAAGTGTTTTTGTTCCTTATCTTAATCAGTTCCTGATAAGGCGATTGAGCAGCCCAGGCTCCTTTTCCTGTTTTCAAGGTTTTTGTACCAGAAATTGCTCACTGCTTCATGGAATTCAGCCAAGGCATAGTTTCAGTAGAACAGCTTGACTTAGTTTTACTGTTGTGGTTAAACTACATACCAGGTGCTCGTTTGAATTTTTAACTCTGCATGATGGTTCTAATAAATTGCAGAGACTGGAATATTACATTCTGCTCAGACATGATCTGAGCCACCATCAACGCTTTTTCAGCCACTACGCCCGAAGCTTTGGAACTCTCTCCCCCTATCCCGCCGCCTTGCCTCCTCCATCCCCTCTTTTAAATTACAGCTGAAGACCATCCTCCAACCGATCATGAGTCATCTCCGCTTATGGTCGCCCCCCTCCCCACAGCTCGGTGTCAGGCTCCACCACTGTTAAGCACGCCGACACGCTGCCCTGCGTAAGGGCGCTGTACAAATACAAGTTGTGAAGCTCTGTCCTGCCTCTGCAATCTTGAAGTTGCATGTGTTAGACATAGGCAGTGTTGGTGATAGGGGGACAGCAAAATTATACCAATGTTAATATCTTCCTTTCTTATATTGAAACTGATAAAATATTTGCATCCTGAATGTCAAATTTGTATAAACATCTACAAAAACATATTTGTTTAACGAGTTCTCTATCTCTCCATTTGGTGGAGTCAGATGGAGCAGAAAGTTCCCAGGTTCGGTCACTGTTCTGTGTTGTTAGCTGCCTCGGCTAGACTTGGCAGCAAGGGTTGATATAATTGATCTTGGAGTACCTGAGCTGGTGGAAGAAAAAAAATCAAATAGTTCCATCATCAACGATGCCCAGTGACTCCTCTCTCTCCCTCTCCACCCCCCCCCCCCCCCCCCCCCCCACACACACACACACCACCACTTTTGAAAGCACATTTTGTGTGCGGTGAGAATAGGGGTGAATGGTTATTGGGAAGGGAAAGAGATCCTTACTAATCAGAGTTTACTGCCTGGAATCTTGGAGTAGTATCACTAATCAAGATATCCAAAACTGAAATTAATCTCTGAACCAATGTGTCTGGGAACTGTTTTACCTTAAGATTGAAGGGAAATGGGAGCTGCCAAATGTCAGGTTACACACAGTCGAGGTAAGGTGCGATGAAAGCATCTGTTTTGTCGAATTACTAAGTACTGTAATAATAATAATCATGCATTTGATATATTGCAAAGCGTTTCACAGAATACACTGTAAAGTGAATAGATTGTATATTTTTGTGGGCGATCTGTATTCTGATGTGAAGAGTCTATTTCTCAAAGAGGTTTTGTGAAAGAAAGCTCTTGGCTGTGTGAATACAAAGGTTCCAGTGTGTATAAGCTGTATAATACGGTGAAGAATTGGACAAAACGATAAATCCTCCAGTTGAATAATAAGCCTTCATGAGTCAAGATGACAAATGCTCCATACAGGACAGAGAGGATTTTGTGAACTTGCTGGAACTAAATTGAGCCAGGCCGGGTTGGAGCAGGCTTGAGTAACCCTGGAACCGATTCACAAATTGAGTTTGGTTCAGATCCAAAATCTGTATCGTGATCTAGTCAATGAGAGATGTGGCATTTGCTGCGATAAGGGAGTCTGTGATATCAACATAATTCAGCCAGCCCTTAGAACAAAGTATCAGAGACCTTTTAAGAACCTTGGATAATTTTTTAAAAGAGGAAATTGAATAAAATACAGTTGGAATTCTGCTGGGACCCGATGATACTGAAGCTTTACTGGTCTCACTGCACGTATTAGATGATTAGTGATTTTTGGCAATGCACGTAAATGAGAATCTGTAACTTTATGTTTCATTTTTAGCCATTGAAACCAATTGGAAAGAGTCAATTGTTGTACAGCTTTTTAAAACCTTGTGAGTCCTATTCATTAGTGTGTTCAGACCAGCCTGTAATGAAAATATTCTGATTGTGTTCTTCATCTCCTGATTTGACGTCCAATAATCCAATAATAGATCTGTGTTTTATGCAGAAACTGTATGTGCCCTATCCAGGTGATTTGCTTCTGGATCTGTGTAAAACTTTTAATTTGTCGATCCTCCTACCCCAACTCCCACACACATCCATATAATTTCAACAAATTAACGTGTGAATAATAGAATACATCTCCAGCCTTCAAGGTTATCAGTTAAACTTCAATGTGGAATTGGTTAAAATTAATTAAAATGATAATAATAATCCTTGCATTTGATAAAGTGCATTATCGCGTTGAGACATCTCGAAGCGCTTCACAGAATATATTGTAAAGTGGACTAACTGCATTTTGTGGGTGAAACGTGGCAGACAATTGCGCACAGCTGTGTCCCACAAACAGTCACGGATTGAGTGACCATTTTTCTTTGAGGGATTATTACCCTCGGAAAGCAACCTCCAATTGACCAACAACCAGGTTCCTACTTGCTGCTAGGTAAACACAGGTGGATCAAAACTTCTCCGGGAATTGAACCCAGATCCTCTTGCTTGTGAGACGAGCGCGCTAACCATTACTCTACGGTTGTATAAGTTTCTAGTGTGACCCTAGCTCTGTGAAGGAAACAACAGACTTTGATATTCCAAGGCTTTCAATTTTCAACTATTTTATGTTGCATCTGTTGTTGGGATTTGAAATTCAAATGCATTGGGTTGAATGTGGTAATGTAAATGCCTGTCCCTTGATAAAGTGCTATCTTAGAGTTTGTGGCTGATGGATTAGAGGTTGGAATGGTTG